AGAGAGAGAGAGAGAGAGGGAGCGCACTGTCTGTAAGAGGGCTGCAGTGCCCCCTATTGGCTTTCTAGTCTCTGATTCTCATCTGAGTCTATTCCATTGATCCATCCTTATGCCAGGGTCACACTCTCTTGATTACTGTAGCTTTGGAGTACGTTTTGAAGTTGGGAAGTATAAGCCCTCCGACTTTTTTCTTCGTTTTCAGGATTGTTTTTGCTCTTCTGGGTCCCTTGCATTTTCACATGAATTTAGGATCAGCTTGTCAAAGTTTCTGCCAGAAAGGTGGAGTATGAGGCTGGAGTTTTGATAGGCTTTGTGTTGAATCTGTAATTCAGTTTGGGGACTATGACCATTTTAGTATTGAGACCTTGAATCCATGAATCCATGATGTCTTCCCAATTATTTAGTCCTTCTTTAAGTTCTTCCAATGATGTTTTCAGTGTACGTGTGGCTCTTCTTTGGTTAAACTTACTGTTTTATTCTTTTGATGCTATTGTAAGTGGAACTTGTTTTCTTAATTTCATTTTTAAATTGTCCATTGCTAATATTTTAAAATGTTAATCTTTTATATTGGTTTTCTTATATTGTTCATATTCTGCAAACGTACTAAATTCATTTATGAGCCATAGTAGTTTTCTCTGGGTTACATATGAGTTTCTATATACAAGATCACGTCATCTGCAAATAGAGAGAGCTTTGTTCCTCTTCAACCTGGATGCCTTTTACTTATTTTTCTTGCAAGTTGGCCTTGCTAGAACCTCCAGTAAATTGCTGAATAGAAATGGAGAGGGGGGACATCCTCGTCTTGTTCCCAATATTGGGGAAAATCTTTCTATCTTTCCCCACTAAGTATAATGTTAGTTGTGGGTTGATTTTTTTTTTGTAGATGTCATTTGTCAGATTAAGAAGCTTTCTTTATATTTCTAGTTTGTTAAGCGTTTTTTTTTAATCATGAAAGCCTGTAGGATATTATCAGATTGCTTTTTCTGCACATATTGAGATGTTCATGTGGTTTTTGCCCTTTATTCTATAATATGGTGTATTAGACTGATTGACTTTTTAGTATGTTTAGCCAACCTTGCATTCCTAGGTCTCACTCAGTCTCACTTGGTCTTGGTGTATAATCTTGTCTATATGTTGCTGAATAACAATCTCTTATTGTTTCCTTCTTTCTGTTTGCTTTTGATTTAGTTTTCTCTTCTTTTCCTGGTTCTTTTGGTAAAATGTCAGATTATCAGTTTGATGTCTTTCTGTTTTAATATAAACCTTTATAGTGTAAACTTACCTCTAAGCCCTGCCTCAGCTGCATTCCCTCAACAGCCTAGCAGCTTTCATTTTTGCCCTTTGGAATCAGATGTCTTGTGAAAAAACAAAACCAAACCAAACCTTGGGCCAGGCCACTAAATGATGAGAGGCAAATAGAGAGAGTGAAGTCCTAGCTTTCCAGCCATTTCTTCCAGAGCTCCAATCTAGGGATAAAGCCATCTTGGACTTCCAGTCCTTCCCAGACACCATCGAAATGCAGCTGCATGAATGGATCTAGAGTACAGGGGAGGAACCACCCCGTCAAGCCATGCTATCATTAGAAATAATACACTCTAGTTGTCATAAGTCACTAAATTTATGGGTGGTTTGTTAGGCAGAAATAGCTAACTGATGCGCTTGTTCCAAAGCCCATAGTCTTAACCATACCTCCTTCATGTTGACGTCACTCTCCTTGGGTGAAGAAAGCAAAGAAAGCTCCAAAACTTCCCTTTCCTTCCTAACCTGGGGGAGGGTTATCCAAGGGGTACGAGTAGAGAAATGGTCCCAGAAGTGACATGCAAAAGCAGACATTTTTTTGTGGGCTGCTGTATTCCTACTGAATGCTAGGAACTCAGTATCACTCATCACAGAGACCACTAGACCAGCATTTCTTAAAACTCACTCATTGAGTACTTCCTTTGTAGCCTTCTCTGTGTCCCTGCACCTGCTATTTACTTAATATTTTACCTTAAATTGACTTCTTCTTAATCTTATATGAATTATATTATTCAGTTAGTATATTATATATTAATATATATATAATATTAATACTATAATTTTAAGTGACTATACATATATTCACAACCTTAAATGGAAAACCAGTATCACATTCTCTACATAGAAGAGAACTATACAAATAAACTGAAAATGAAAAAAAAATTAAATTCTGGCTATGGTTGTCTGGACTACGAAGTTACTTAGCTTGAGACTTGCATTCTTTTTGTTGAACACAGAGATTAGTCATTGATGGTAAAGGCATATTAGTACCAAACTGTGCCTTTTTCTTTTATGAAGCCAGGAGGATTGACAGCGAATAGGAAAAGGAATGGTGTTCCCACCATGTAATGTGACGTTATTTAATGCAGTCTGTGTACATCTGAAAGGTCCTGGAGGACTTGTTGCTCATACTTTGGGAAACACTGCACTAGATTACAAGCTCCCTGAGGGTGAAGACAAGCTGTCTGATGTGTCCTGTGTTTGGCACAGTGCTGGACATATTTCTCAAGGAAATTTTTTTAATGAATTAGTTGAATATATAACCCAGAGCTCATTTTTGGTATCTTTTGAAAACAGAATGGTCGTTGTCTCCAGACGTTTCATCATTCAGAGGCTCAGACACCTGTTATCTCTCTGCATCTTAAATCCTACATCTTTTGGACTCACTGCAAATGGGAGATGTCTTCCCTCTTCTTAGTTCAAAGATTTAGCACTTATTTTAGGAGATCATATATAAAAATTATTATTGCTGATCCCCTACCCAGGGCCCATGAAACAGAATCCTGTGTACATGTGTGTGTTCATGTGTGTACACGTGTGTGCATGTGTGTATTTAGTAATGCCTTTAGATTCCCTTGAAAAGAAACTATTAATTGGGCTGTTGTATTTGTTATTTGTGTTCTCCACATCTTTTCCACCTTGTCCCGGTAATGGTCTCCAGTTTTCCTCCACGGTCCAGTCCCTCCCATTTCTCATCACATATGCTTCAGAGGAGGCTCCATGCTCCCCATCCCTTCCAGCTTAGGCACTGTGTGACCCAGGCCTGAGCCAGTTAGCACATCAGACTGCTCTAGTCACAGTGATTGGCACAGAGAGAGGCATGGGGAACCATCAAACAGGAGGTGTTTCCTAGGCATACTGCTATGGAGGCAGGTGCTCTTCCCATGCTGGGCTGGAAGTTGAGAGGATGAAAGTGTCCGCCATCTTGTTGACACGATGTTGAACCTGTTGGGGATGGCACCCTCCAGAAGAAAGCTGGCAGACAGAGAGAGAGGGAGAGGGAGAACAAACAGAGAGAGAACCAGGTCCTAGTGGCATCACTTGACCCGGTACTCTGCCATAGCTGAAACCAGACCAACCCTAGGTTTTTCCCTTGGGTGAGCTAATGAATTCTCTTTTTGTTCAAACAAATTTGCGTTGAAGCTAAGCCTTCTCTAGTTTAGACATTGACTTCCAGACAACATGGAGCCAAAGAGTCCTGAGAGAGCAAAGGCTGGACAGAACACCAGCGCTTGAAGGGTCTTTGAGAAGTGACTTTAATCGGACCAAAGACTACTTACTGGCCACCACAACATGTCCCCTCCAGCGAGAAAGTAGCCTTTTACTGTGTCTCTTTTGGTCTTCACTGTGGACTGAAACAAAGAAGAGGCATGAGTGAGGGAAAAGTGAGCAATCAGAGGCATCCCAAAATGGTCTAGGGCACAGATTATCAACTGGGAGTCCAGCAGGCCAGACTTGGACGTCAAATATGTATATATTTTTTCTTTTTGTTTTTGCTTTTTTTTTGTCTGTTTGTTTTGGCAAGAGTCCCTGAGTGATACTTCCCATGGGAAGCTGTTTACCTGAAATGTGTTACTTCACTCTTCTTTTTTAAATTGAAGTACAGTTGATGTACCATATTATATATTACAGGTGTACAATATAGTGAGTCACAGTTTTTAAAGGTTATACTTCATTTATAATTATTATAAAGCACTGGCCACCTTCCCTGTGTTGTAC